AGTACTTTTGTTTACAGTATTTCTCATAACTGAAAACAGAGGAAAGAAGAAAATGCCAATGGAGAAAATACCTAAAAAACCCCACGGAACCAGATCAATTTTCAAACATAAAAGGCAGCTCTGATCTAGCAGCACAGATCATGAATCAGCCTTCACTCTCCTCAACCTTGGAAGAAGGGACAAGGAAGAAGTCCTAAGCTAAACTCTTCCATCACAAAACTTTAAAAACTCATGTTTTTTTCACTCTAACACTGTTATCATCCAAGCTCAAATTAGCCATGGCTCACATCCCAAATGGAAACTCCAGTATCATCCATATAATTAGGTTTTATTAGAATGGGAATTTGTTTCATCTCCCTTATTCCATGTCTGTGACAGGAAACTGAATTTTCCAGGAAGTTTCCATCTGTTTAGGTGTCACTCAAGTACCTCCCCTTTGAGGCAAGTTCAGTCCAACTGTCCAGGCCCAGTTCCCACCATTTCCCAGTACAGAGTGCAGCCCACAGCCCCGAGCTCTGCCTGGGACCTGGAACCACACCCCAAGAGCTGCTGACCAGGGAAGGGCCCTGGGGGACACAGGAACTGCAGAAGCAAAGGAGAATTACCTCAGAGAGAGGAGAGGAAGAGGAGGAGAAGCCTTCACATGGACAGAATGGCACAAAGTGGAAAATTTTACACAACTGTATACCACCAACTATGGAGACATTTCAGATCTAGTGCCAAGTATAATTGATTATAATATGTATTTATATTGTACACTCCATTCAACTTTGGCAGTACAAAACTCTCAAAACAGGCTATTGCTTTTACACAAGAGCAGGAGGGAAATAACATCCTTACACTATTCTTTATATAGAAAAACAAAAGTTAACAGTTTTTATTTTACTTTTTAGGCAATCCATGCCATTGTCCATGCCTGGGAGTTGCTTCCACAATGCTGCTGCAGCACTGAGCCTTCAACCCCTGGCTAAAATCATCAAGAGCTGCCTCAGAGCACCGGATGGGGCTCTGTGAGTACCAGCCTGTGCTGCCATGGGTTCCTTTGTTCCTCCCCCCTAATCTCCCTAAAGCCACATGTTGTCTCACATCCCCTTACTGGGATTACAGGATGTTTAAGACAAGAACTGTATTCTCATCCTGTATTTCCCAGCACCAGATGGGTTCCTGGCCAAGCATAAAACGTTGTCCTGCAGCCCTGCCAGCTTCCAAGACCTCTCTCAAACTGCAATAACCATCTTTCACATACCTTTGAAATATCTTTCAGAGATTCCATAATGAAGTTTGCTAAGGATAAAAAGCTAAGCTGATCTGACTGGCAATCCTATCTCTTATAAGCATTTCAACTCTTACAAGAATTTCAGAGAAGGCTTTTAATGTTGAAAAGACCAATGATTTGCAGTTACCTGAATGGTATCTGAACCAGAGAATGGCACTGTTAAGGTGTTTATCCCAATGGACAGCACCTTTAAAACATAGAAGTTTGTTGCATAAATTCTACTATGCTATTTTTAAACTAAATGTGTATTAACATGCAATTTTATAATAATCACTTTATTCCAGAGGCTGAAACTTGTATTTCACATCCTCAAAACACACAAGGCACAGCCCTTCTGCCTAATGCACACTTGGGAGTTGTTATTTTCAAGTTTTAAAAGCTCTAGGAAATATTGTCTTATACGTCCCTATAAAAGGATGATGTATTACCTACAGCACTGTCCAGGAAACTGTCACATGATCACACTGAAATCCTAGAAATACACACACGGCTGCTCCAGCTACAGAACTGAACCCTTATCACCCATCATGAGGCAAGAGGGAGACCTTGAATCCACCCAGAACTGATTCAGCTGACTTGCACTGACATACTGTATTTACACTTTGGCTTTCTACTGCTGCAACTCCATGTGTGCCAATCTGAATCTGAAATCAGAGCTTTAATTAGAACTTCATAATTATGTGGGTCCAAAAACTTCTGCCACCCCCCTGCTATGTGAGCTGGTGTAAAAGACTATGGGATCACAAGGAAATGAGCTGGCTTATGCCTCGTGCTTTGGGAGCACAGTGGAAGCCCAGCAATGTTAGCTGATTTATGTAGCTAGCACTCATTTCTCCTAAAAACAGCTCCCTAAAATTAAAGGGACAATCCGGACCATGGAATTAATACCTGCAACATAACAAAACATTACAGAATGCACTCAAGAGAGATTGCACACTGAGAAAAAGCTGATGACATAAGGAGCACTAATTTGTGGAGTAACTTCCCAAGGGAATTCCTAGAAGTCCAGCACTCGAGACTTTAACCACTAGTGATACTTCCTGCAGCATTTCTCCAACAAAGCACGCAGCACTTTACAAAGATCTGTGCAAGGAGAGCACCAGACACTCCCAGTTCCATGTCCATGGACCCAGAGCCAGCTATTTGGGTCTCAGGGTCTAAAGAGACAAACAAACAGGGCACCAAGAAGTGAGCATCAGAAAAACTTTCAAGTATTAAAACAAAAAAGCCAACCCAAACCCACAGTGCCCAGTTAGCTCAGCTGGTCAGAGCTGAGAGCAGCAAGGTTCTGTGCTCAGCCCCTCCATAGGCCATTCCCTACATGCCATGGCCCTTGTGGGTCCCTTCCAACTCAGAATATTCTGGGATTCTGGCAGAGTTCTGAGTGCTCACAGTGCTCACTGTCATGATCTCTCAATGTAGCCTTTACTTCAGTAATTAGACTTCTATCTTTTAAAACACCAAAGCTAAATGGCTGATGGTTGTGCAGGGTTTAATGACCTTAAATATTCAGAAGGTGTAAAAGGTGTAACAGCTCTTAGCACTAAGAGAAAAGGAACACAAAAAGCAAATAAGAAAAACATGGACTGGCCTTTACCAGTCAGAACTGCACATTTGTGACACTGGGAATAGCAGAGTGAGCAGATCTGTGTGGGGCAGGCCCACTCCCCCATGGCCACCTCGGGCCCTGTAGAGACACCTGAGTAACTCTGTTTTACTGCATGGCTTCACAGAGAGTGTGGAATTTACTGAGGCCCCTGGATACTGACACACCACAAACAGGAGTCCAGGAGGCACAGATAAGACTGGTTAATCAGCTGTAAGCAAAACATTTCAAATAAACAGCAGCTACAGTTATCTGAAAGCTGGCCACAGTGGGAAAAAAAATATAGACACCAAAGGAATAACCCTAATATTCAAAGAAAATAAAGGGTCAAGAGAGAAAGCAGAACCATCAAGAGGTAGTTTTTAAATAGGAATATCCATGAAGGCACAAGGAAATAGAAGAAAACAAACTAAAAACCTGGTTTGGTGTACAAAACTGAGAGTGACAGAAAAAACAAGCAAGAAAAGCTGAAGAAGGGAGGGAAAAGCTCAGGAATTTGGGCAGGGACAAATTAAAGATAGACAATTTCAACAGCACAGAGCGTAAAACTAAGATTGCAAAAGGCCAAGAAGGGAAGAAGGCAAGGCAAGGAGAACAAAGAACATATTTCAGAAGACCAGGCTTAAAGTGGAGAGAGCACAGCAATGCAAATATCTTATTAAATAAAATCAGAACGATATTTGCATATTTTTTGGCAAAAGCAGTCTGGTGACTGACCAAAAGCAGGAGGAATTTATGGGAAGAAAGCGCAAATGGAGTTGGAATCAATCGGGCCTAAGGTGATAAAAAATTAGAAGCAGAGATGCATCAACACTAGCACCGGGATTCCAGGAGGAAAAATCCTTAAGACAAATTACTTCAGGAAATGACGAGGCAGAGATCCTGGGAACGGGCTCCCTCTTTCCCAGTGCAAAGAGATCTCTATTTTCAAAGACTTTAAGTGGGAGGAGCCAATAGCGAGAGGATAGGAAGCATCTAACGCTACTTTAGCCGTCTCAACAGTTAAATCCTGATCCTGTAAATAAATAAAATATTTAACTTTCTAAACCCCAGTAATTCAATTCAAATCCAGTGTAACACACACATCGGTATCGACAAACACAGCGAACATAAAACCACTCTGTCAGGAAAATACAAACACAAACAGGGCAGGACTTAAAACTACCAGAGGGAAAAAAGGAGATTTAAAAAAAATTTAACAACCAAGAGGTCTAAAAAGGTCAGAGCTCCCTCCCGACACTGACCAAGGCTTCAAAGGGAAGTTCAAGGAAACCTAACAGTTTATTCCAGAGCTTCCTCCCAGGAACGGACACATGCCCCCACTCCGTAAACACAGCAGAATGCAATTCCTTCCCAGTATTCCCCAGCCTGTAACACCGAAATTCCGGACACTGCCATTGCCCACAGCACACTGAACGCTCTTTTCTGGGGGACAGGAGTGGGGAAAGCCCAGCACACTTCCAGCCTGTTTGCTTTTAATGGTAATCGTCGTTACAGAACATTTATCTACTAGGCACAAAAAACCCAAAATCAATGATTGTTCCTGGCTTTCAATCGGAATTACTTATTGTTTACATTTCAAGGAGGGGGGAAAAATTACGAAGTTCCTCTTCCCCTGCCTCTACGGTCTGTATTTCGTTTGGGGCATCTTTTACCACGCTCGCTCTTAGTCATCGCTTTTTTAAAGCGATTAACTCCACTACACCGGGGTATTCCAACAACCACTGACAACCGCCGTACCCTCGGTGAAGCAGTGACCATAATAAAGCGCTGCATTTCGAGGCAAACACTCTCTCCGCGCCGCCACCGCCTTGGCAGCGTGCGCGGCTGCCGAGCCACAGCCCCTGCCGCCTCCCTGCCCTTGTGACCGGCCCTGCCCGCGGCTGCCCCGCGCCGGGGGCGGGTTCAGCCCGGGCAGTTCCCACTCCGCCGCTCCCGAGCGCCGAGCCGCCCCCCCGGCGGCCGCGGCACCGGGGACTCCGGGCCCGGCAAACTTTGCCGGGAGCTGCCCCGGAGCGGGCCGGGCGAGGCGAGGCCGAGGCAGCCCCGGTGCGGGCCCAGGGCCGTGCGGGAGCCCCGGGGAGGCTCATTGTGCAGGAACAAAAGAAAGATCCTCACCGCACACGCAGCAGGAGAGGGACTGCCTGAAGTAGGGCAGGAGCTTGTTAATCTCGGAAAAGGACTGGGGGTCCGCCGGGTCGTAGTTGAGCACCAGGCGGCTCGCGGACACGTAGAGAGCAGTGGCATTCACCGGGTTCATCGCCGCCGCTCGCTCGCCGCCGGCTGCGCGGTGCGAAGAAGGTCTGCGCGGGCCGCGGGGGCAGGTGGCCCCGGGGCGGGGGCCGGCCGGGTGTCACCTTGGTCCGGGGCCACCTGGAGCCGCGCGGCAGCGGCGGCGGCAGCGCGGAGGCCGCGGCGGCCCTGCCAGAGGGGGCCGCGCCGGCTCCTCCTCCGCCTCCCGCGGGGGAGGCCTCGCTCCGAGCGGCGGCTCGGCCCGGGCGGCAGCGGCGGCGGCGCTACTGCAGGTCCCTGCGGGCCATACCCGCCCCGCCGCGGGGCCCCTGCTGCTGTCGGCGCCTCCCTCAGCGGCGGCCCGGCATGGCGGCGGCCGCAGGCAGGATCCGCGAACGGGCGCGGGGCGGCGGCGGGGCCGCGCTGCCCGATGCGGCGGGAGGGCGGCGGAGGCACCCGGGGTTCACCGCGGCCGCATCACCGCGGCGGCGGCGCCGCCTCCTGCGCGGGGCCGGTGGGCGCGCGGGCAGGGCCGGGCGGGCCGCGCGCGCTCCGCGGTGGCGCCGTTAGATCCGGCCGTCACTGCGGGGCCATCGCCGCCGCCCGCGCCGCGCATGCGCGCCCGCAGCGGGGCGGGGGGGCGCCAGCGCCCTCTAGCGGCACCCGAGCCGGCAGCGGGGGCCGCGCGCAGGAGGGCGGGAGGGGCGCGCGCCGCCTCAGCGCCCGCCATGGGCCCCGCGAGCTCCCGGCGCTCGGGGCTTGGCACGGAGCCGCGGCCGCGCGCGCCGCCTCACGCGCCCCCGCCCCGCCGTGTCTCGGCTTTCCCCCTCACGGCGGCCGCGCGCGGACGCCGCGTCCCGCCCCTGTCATGGCGAGCGCCTCCGCTCGGGCCGAGGAAGCGGCCCCGCCTCTGCTCTCAGGCCGTGCTGGAACCTGCGGCCAGGCCTGTCAATACCTCGGGCTCCCGGCTGACGCACCGGCCCCTCCGCCGGCACGGAGCGAGGCCGGGGAGCTGTGGGGCCTGGCAGCTCTGGGGAGAGGTGGCGCGGGAGCTGCCGAGCGCACAAACCCCTCAGGACATCGCCAGCCTCCCACACACGGCTCTGTGGACAGAAGTCTGTCACAAACGTTCCTGCTGGAGACCCCATGTCTAGCACAGCAGTGGATGCACAGGCTGAGGGCAGGTATGACCAAGATATAGGCACAGGCAGGACGTTTATGGAGGGAAGTTGTTTTATTTCGTGCGTAATCACCAAGGCCATTCCACAGACTTCCAGATCCTGTGTTGCAACACTGCCAGCACCATCGGGCAGCCCTCTCCCTGCTTTTGTGTTTGGTGTTTTGGGGAACTGCCTAACAGAGCTTCTCCTTTTTCCCACATTGCCCTCTGTGTTCACTTAGAGTTGCCCATGTGAAACTAATCAAGGAGTTCCACCTGTATCTTTTAGTTCCTTGTTCGCTTCTTGAATCCCCCCCACTCTTTCCAGCCCAACACATAATGAGTGTACACACAAAATACAGGAATTTGGGTCTTGACCCCAAATACTCATTTAGCACTTGAGGTCCTCACCAAGCAGCTCATTCCCCACTTGGCGCTGTTCCTACATGGCCCAGGTACAGCCCGTGTGGGTGCATCTCCATGTTACCACACAGACCTACAAAGCCCTTCTGCCTCCCAGCAAACACTCAGTAGCCATCTCTGGACTGTAATTCCTTGCACACATTGAATCCCCAACCTGACTTCACTCCAAGGCACAGCATCTTCATTCTCAGCACCAACCTGCTGTTACATTGCTTGTAAAATGCCCAATTCCCTCTTCAATTTACTGCCAGGAACACCTTCTGTGCTGAACCAAGCCAACAGACTGAAATAGCATCCAGAAAATTCCCACCATGTCCACATCCTCATACACACCTCCCTGTATCACATCCTCTGCCAAACTCTGAGCACACTGTGTCTGTCCTGAACACTCCCAACCCCTTCCAGCTCCCTCTCATGCTGCTCTGGCTCTTAGGCAAGGAATTTAGTTGACCCCCAACAGCCAGAGTTTTACCAGTCTCGTCTAATTTCTGGGATACACTCCTTTGAGGTATCATCCACAGCCTGGGATTCAGCAGTAGGGTTCCAGGCCAAACCTCAATATCCCCATCCACAGCATTAACCTGCACTATTCTGTCACTCACTGATGGAGCTAAATGAGTAGCTCTGGATTCCACCTAAGAACAATTGCAATCCTAGCAAGACAGATAATATAAACTCTCTAGAACTACAAAGAATTATTACTCTTGAAAATTATGGTAATAATAGAATATGAAACTGCAAGAGTAGCAAAACTGACCAGGTCATACCTTTCAAACCAGAGGAAGGCCATAGTGCTTTGCCCCATTATTGCTGGTTGATCTGCTGAGTTTCACTTTTTTTCTGTCCAGACCCTTGAGTTCATTTCTAATAGTGCAGTCCAAGCAGCTGATATAATTTTTCTTGCCTCTGTTGGTCATTTGTTCCAGTCTGTCAGCATCACCATCCTGCAGGAGGAGTCCTGCTGTCTCAGGAGGGTGGGTTAGGGCCTCAGCTGTTTGTGACCACTGTGGCAAGTGGGGTGGTGACAGTAACTGTGAGGGGTTGAGTGCCTTCCCCAGCTCTGCAGCCTCCCTGCCCCAGGGCTTGGCTCAGCCCTAATGTGCTGCACCTGTGTGACCCCCATCAGGTGCTGAGAATCAGCCAGGTGGGGAAAAGCTCCACTTGAGCCTTCTCTGCTGTGCCTTAGGAGCTCCTTTCAAGCGTGAGAGCTGCCCTTTTGCTGCTCCCTGACTCTGTGTCTGCCCTGCTGGCTGTTGCTTTGCCCTTGGACCTGCTCCTTGCTGCAGATGGCTGCTCCTCAGGGGCTCACCCTGCTCTGCTCTGCTCTCCTCACTCAGGTACCGTGGGACTCCCTCTTGTAGTTGCTACCCCTGCCCTGCCTGCCTTGCTCCTACCTCCCTGGCTCAGCTTTCCCCTGCAGTGGCCACCTTTGCTGCTCCCTCATGCTAACAGCCTTGTGGGACCAGTCTCCCTCCCTGGCCAGTGGTAGTGCTTAACTTTGAACAAGCACTGAAACACTCAATAAACCATTGAGTAAATCCCCTTTCACTGGAAAACAAGGGTGGAATAGGAATGTTATTTCATTTTCCAGTTCCTATCAATACTCTGTGTTTGGGAAAAGTGAGACTCCTTGTTGAAATTAGGTGAGAGTACTGCTCATTAACTCTGCAAACACAGATACCTGTGTTAATGGCCCAGGTCCTTGGGTGATAGTTTTTGTTTCTTTCCTACTTGAACAGAATAAACATTTAGATCTCAGTGAACAGTCCTTTGTAAATGCATAATAAAGAACATGAGGTGTTCAGCTAGCTCTGCTGTGGAAGTGGTGCATCCTAAAGTGTCTGATAACTGCAGCACTGCATCTTTAAGGGAAAGGTATCAACTGAGCAGGAAAAAAAATACAGGTCAGCATATACACTGCCTCTGAAAACTTGGATGTGAATAAAATGGTGGAGTTTTGTTGTTGTTTTGTTAGGGAGTTTGGTTTTTCCCTCAGCAGGCTGCCAATGGCAAGCTTGTTTCTAATTGCTTGTTTGACTTGATGTAGGCTTCCTTCTGTGTCACTGCATTTTGAGTGTCATAAGGAAAGGCAGGGTAAGACCAGAGGGAGTGTAACAGTTCCAACAACACAGCGTTTTCTGGGCTGATGCTAATGATGTTAATGAATTAACACAACAAACAGGTGATAACTGCAGAAGAAGGGAACAAGAAGCATCCCCCCAGAGCCTCTAAGAAAGACACAGACTGACTTTGGCCAGAGAGCAGTCAGAGGAGCTCGGGATGGCTTTGGTCACAGCTTTGCAAAGGCTGTGGCCCTTTGTAAAGTGACCCTGGCTACTGCTCACCCTTGTTATCATCACAACAAGAGACAGCTGGGAGACTGCTCCTGCAGTACCAGCTGCACCAATTCCCTTGTTTGGGCCTTGTTCATTTGCCTTGAATTTGTCTCATAGGGTTGTCCTTTTAGTTTTGTAAGTCCCAAATGTTCCAGGGGGTGTCCAACCATGCCATGCCTTTGGAATCCTGGCAAAGCAGAGCATACTGATACTCTCAGTCCATTGTCTTTGCCTCCCTTTTATATTCATGAACAAACCATAGACTTCACCACTATAACAAATTTTCTCCTTAGTGTTCAAAAGTATTCTTTTATGTTATTCCAGAGTGGCTACACTTTTTAGAAACATACTCCAGTTGCTTACTAATCTCTTACCAACATCCCTCTTTGAGAATTGCTGGTTTTGTTTTGACAGGTTCACACCCACAACACCAGAGACCCCGTTTTTTTTTTTTTTTATTGATTATAGGAGTGGTTGCAATCAATGGCCCTTTCATTCAAGTTCACCTCCACATATGACAAAGCCAATTTCTGATTTCTGCTTTTTTATTTGGGTCTGTTTTTTGCAAGCAGCCTTTTTTTTTTTTTTTTTTTTTTTTTTTTTTTTGGAGGGAATGAAGCAAAACAAAAAAGGCATCTCCATTATCATTCTTGAGACCTGGAATAGTGCAGTACAATTTATGTCTTTACTGGTAGGAGGAATTCCCTGTTCTAAGCCAGAACATAGCTGTTATTGGACATTGGAATATTCAATGCTGTACAGTTTTATAGCAGTGCCTGTTAGACCCACCAGTTCTTTGTAACTGTGTGTGGGGTTTTGTTTGTTTGGTGTTCTTTGGTATTTTTTAACTATCTACTGCTTTCAGAAACACCCAGCAAATCAACAGGAATCTGTTTGTGGTTTGGATTCCCAAGGACCTGAGAAGGAATATTCCCCAACAATTTTAAGGTCCTTGGGATCTCAGTACAAACCCCACCCACTATGTCACTATTGTTAAGGGGTTTGCTTATTGTTCTCCACAAGCCAGTCCCCCCCAGTTCATTTACTTCATTTGGGGCATATATTTGAAGGGAATTTTCATAGGATGAATTTGTAGGGCATCTCCTCCAGCAGTTATTGTTCTGTACAGCTTTCTCTTTCAGTTCTCCCAGCCCTTCCCCAATTTGAACCAGGCTAGTGGGGGTAGCTGCAATAGCTTTTCTCCAGCTGTGTGAGCATGTCTGGCCTAATAATTGTTCTATTTGAATCAGCATCAAGTACATTGTGCATATCATATTAGATCTTTGGTAATCAAATTCCTCCTCTTGTTATTAAACTGTATAAGCAGAAGTTGAGGTACATCTGTGCATCTCTGAAGTTCACAGAATGTGAGCTCAAATCCTTTTTTCAGTTATCTTTGCCTTATAGTTGTACTTACATGAACCATGTGAGTGAACTTTATATTGCAGCTAATGAAAAAAACCTGTTTAGCTTACCTTTCAAAAGTGTCACAACACAGATTCCCAATATGCATGTCAGAAGCATAGAAGGAGGGCATTGATGGAGCTCACAGCAGTCCAGCTCCTCACTGAAGCTGTTCATGTTTTTCTGATGTTGCTAAACAAAAAAATTAAAGTTCCTCTCTGGATATAGAGCTGT